GCGTCCCGGCGCCGCGCGGCGGCCCTCCCGCCCCGGAGCCCGGGCCTTTGTCTCGGCCGCTGCCACCCCCGGTCTCCGCGGCGGCTGCGCCCCGGCCCGGCCGCCGAGCGCCGGCTGCACCTGCCGGCTGGTCCCGTGCGCCGGCTTTGCGCGGCTTAACCCGGCCGCTCCCGCCCGGGCCCCCGCTCCCAGCGCCCCGCGGCCCTTTATCCCGGGCGGCGAGGGTGCAGGTGTGGGGACGGCGGGGCGTGGAAGTCTCCCCTTGCCCAAGTCCGAGCCTGAACCCTTTCAGTGGGATTTCAATAAGAACGAGGCGGACGCAGCCTGCGGCATCCGCCGTGGAGAGGGCCTGTCTGGACGCCGGGCATTGAACCGTTCGGTGGCGGCCGGGCTTGAACTCGCGCTCACCCCAGCTGTGAGGGGGGAAAGGTCTTGTACTCAGAAGGACCTCCCGTGTGGCGTCTGCTCCTTTACCAAAAAACAACAAGGAAAGAAATTCGTTTGCTAGGGGGAAAAAAACAAAACAAAACAAAACAACAACTTGCCTCCCAAGGTCGGGAACATCTAGGGGTGGGTTACGGGTCTACACTGGGGCCCGAGTCGGGATTCGTATAGAAGCAGGCAGGATCCAAGAAACCAGGTAGAGCCTAAGCGTCTGTCAGGTCTGGAGAGCGTCCCCAGCCGGGTTGACAAATTGCAAGCAAATTGCATCTAACGAAATGCGTTTAGCCATGCTGCTGACCCCAGGCCTCCGGGCAAAGCATAGCTGTTGGTGAAGTGGGAAAGCCTCCCCTCCACACCGGACCCCGACTGTCTGCAGGCCGGCTCTGGAGGCTAGAAGTTGACCAGAAATTCCTGCGTCCAAGGCACCTGGCACCAGCGGTCCAGACACCTAGGACAGTGGGTCCTAGTCCCCGTATTTCCAAAAGATTTCCAAAAAGATGGCAGATGCTAGGCGAGCGGGAGTCTTTGATTTGAAGAGCTGGAAGCGAACCCCAAAGAGCAAAGAGTGCCGTAAGAGCCCCTCTGAACTGATGGATGATGCCTGGGACATATCTGAGTCCTCCACCTAGAGGGGACCCGGAGCCAGAGTGGCCAAAGCTCCCCACTTCCTTCCCAGTGTCCCTCAGAGCTTGTGGCTGAGGTAGGGCTGGAGGCCTCGGGGTTGTCAGCGATTTGGGTTTGAAAGGCAGCCCTTAGCAAGCCCTAAGCCACTCAGCTGCCCTTAAGAAAAAGGAGAGAATTGGGCTGCGAGGAGAGAGCAAACTTGTGATCCCAGAGGGATGGCTCGGATGAGCTAAGTTTAAACAAAGGGCAAGTGGGAGCACAGCTTCAACTGAAGGCCCTACAGGGCTCCATCCCCTTTCAGACTGATTTGCAGGAACCGGGCCACACCCAGAACCCCGCCTGCATCTACAGAACCCAGCTCCCACGCAGGAGCACCCCCTCTCTGCAAAAGCTTTCAGGTCACGCAAAAAAAGGGGGGGTGGTTAGAAAATTCAGTTTGGGAGTCAAGCTCCCCCTGTTCTCTGAGAAACCTTGTTTCTGCTGGAAGGAAAAGGACACGTTAGTTCGGAGAAGAGCAGCCTCGGGTAGGCTCCAAAACGAACCACAGCAAAATAATAACAATAATAATAACGAAGCAAGTATCCACGTGAAGGTATTCTAGGGACCTCATAGCAGGGCTCTGAAAATTGGAATAAATCTGTTGTCGTTTGTGGGGCTGGCGGGGGCTGGGGGGAAGCTGACTCTAAGCCATCTTGGGAACTGCCTTCTTTGGTGTTTGTTTGGGCTTTAGTAGCGGTTCGTGTTTGGCCTAGTAGTGGGTTCTTGGCAGTGGCTCGATCTGGTTCGCACATTCATCAGCACAGGCTCCCCTTTATTCGCCGATTCAGGGTCCTGCTACCTAGCCGGAAATTTTCCCGTTCTTACGGGTTAGTTCCTGCTGGAAAACTCAGCAGTCCCGCCTCGGACGCAGGCGCGCCAACCTCGGCCGGGGTTCGGCCTAGCCGCCGCTATCGTGCAGTTTCCAGAAGGCAACCTTAGGTCCTCAGCCAAGGGAGCAGCCAAAGGCGGGACCCCTCTCCTCCTCTGTGCCAGTCTGTGGGCAGGCAAGTTGTTGCGGGTCTCCTGAGGCCCAGGCTCAAGCGTCGCTTAACCGCCCGGGTAAGCCCTTGTTGCGTGGCGATTTTCCGAGCTGCCGGACGGAGTAATTAAATCCCCCTCTGCGCTGCGCTCTTCGCCAGCAGGGTGGGCAACACCGGGGCTCGCTCGCGTGGAGTGGGGGCCCGCTGGGCTGACCACTTTCACCTCTGTAAGAGCCAGGACGCTGCCCCGACCGCGGTGTGGCAAGGAAAACGGAACCCCCATCTCGTCCAGAAAGAAAAGATAATTTTAATTGCAGCTTCGGGAGAAAAGAGGGAAATTACCTGTTTTCGGGGTGGTGCTGGCAGACCCCCGCCCTGCCAGCCGCGGCGCCCCGGCTAGGCCAGGCCAGCGTCCTCGGCGCTCTCCTCCGGGCGCCCGCACGGCAGAGGCCTGGGCTTGGGCCGCACGGGGTGCCCGTTGCCGAAGGCGGGGGTGTCGCCCGGCCCTGAGACGCCCGCTAGGTTCCGGGGCCTTCGAACACTGGAAACTCCGTGGCGGTCTCAGCTTGCGCGTTAACGAAGAACCGTGGGCCGGAAGGCTGGGAGAGGCCGAGACAGCCGCCCCGAGAGGGTGCGGGTCCCAAGTGGACCCCGCGGGAGGAGCGCGGCCTGGCGGCGCTGAGACCACCCACCTGCGCAGCCGACCCCGAGGCTCCGCGGCTTCGCGCCGCTGCAGCTCCCGGAGCTCCCCGCGCGGCTCCCGCCTAGGCTGGGTGCGGACCTCCGAGCCTCCCGGGCCACGGCTGGCTCCGGAGCGCGGGGACTCGGGGAGCACGGCCGGCCGCAGGACCCCACCCCCTTCCCAGGGCGCGGGAGGCGCGGGTTTCCGGCCCAGCGGAGTCCTGCACCCCGGGCCCCAGGCCTTTACCTGTTCCAAGGCCTCGGACGGACGGACGGACGCCAGCCGCAGAGGCCGGAGGAGGCCCTGCCGTGCGCGCGCCCCCTCTGTGCGGTCCGCAGAGGTCCCGGGAGGGGGTGCCGGGGGCGCGCCCGAGGAGCTGAGCCGGGCTGGGCGCCCCCCGGCCGAGGGGACCGAGGGCTTTCCTCCCTCCTTGGATTATTAAAAAGTTCATTTCCTGGCGAATCGGGTGACGTCAGGGGCCCGGCGTCGCGGTGGCGGGGCCGCCGGGCCGGAGAAGCCGCCTCCAGTTACCCAATTACGGACTGTCAATCCTGCCGCCCCTCCCCCCTCCTCGGGGGCGGCGGAGACCCCAGCCCTGCCCCTGCTCGGGACCAACCTGGGACCCCTCTGGAGGTATTCCCTGGGGCTCTCGGGCCTGCCAAGGTAGAGCAGCTAGACAGAGGGCTTCGAGCTCCGCCAGCCGCTCGCACCTGTCTAGATTCCCCCAGAAGGCTTGGGCTGGCAAGCTCTCTCTCCAGACTCCGGGCTAACGTCCCCAGCCCATACCCCGGGAGGGAGCCAGGTCTGTACGCCCGTCGCGGGGCTCACCCCCTCCAGAGTGGAGGTGTTGTGGGGGAAAGTCCAGGTGACTTTGGGAACAGAGTGTCAAAACATTGCTTCCCTCTCCCCAAAGGCCGCCGGGGGGCCCCTCGGAGAACATGTATACATACACACATGAGTATATTATACGGCTAAGACGGAGTCTCCCTCCGGCCGACGCTGGCGCCAGTCCCCGGCTCCACGGCCTCGCCCCGGGCAGTTCGGCCTGGTGGTCTGCTAAGGCCACGCCCGGAGCCCTTACTCCTCCCTGGGCCACTGGCCAGACCGCGACCATCGGTCCAGCGCGGCCCTAAGTGTCCTAGTGCCCAGCGAGGGGGTCCTAGAGGGTCCACAGTCCCCAGACTCGGGCCGCCCGGCCCGTCCTGCCGGCCCCACGCACGGCAGCCCTGACAGGAGAACCCCGGGTCTGGAGCGGCGGCTGGACTCAGGCTGGCCGCGCTCCGTGGCGGGGGAGGTGGGGCCCCTCCGAGAGCGTGGAGAGCTGGGGTCCCCGCAGACAGATGCCAGAAGGTGGTGTGTCCGCGCCTGGCGAGTCAGGGACCGCACTGGGGGCCAGCTGCCGGGAGGGCAGGGCCGAGGCCCCGCGCGGCTGCCAGGGGGGTGCGGGGCTCGGCCCGCGGCGAGGGTCCCCCGGGGGGCGTTGGCATCGGAGGCCGCGGGGAGGGCGCTGGGAGGGGTCGAGGCGGCTGAGGGGGCCAGCTCCGGGGTCAGCCCCGAAGTCCGGCGGCCGGAGCTGCCGCGGCGGCCAATGGCGGCGTGGAGGCTGGGCGGCGCGCGGCGCTGATTGGCTGGCGCCGGCTTCTTAGGCGTGCGCGGCCCCCGCTTCATGTCTGTGCAGGAGTCGGCAGCTGGCGCCAGGGCGGCCAGAGGATGCAGAGGGGCCGGAGCCGGGCGGGCCGGAGGCCGGGGCGCGCGCTCCTCCCCACCCCTAGCCCGTGAAGCCGCCCGCCCTGGGGCGCGCTGCCTGCCGCGGGGTCCGCGGCTCCCGGGCTCTCCTGGTGTCCCTTGCTCTCTGCTGCTGAGCCGCCCCTCCCGCGCCGCTGCGAGTGTAAGTTTGAGGTGCAGGGGGCTTGGCGGGCGCTGCCAGATTGGGGGGGGGTCTCTTCGGGGCTCCGGCCGGGCTCTCCTGCGGGCGGTTACATTCTTACGCCTTGGGGAGAGGTCCCGGGGACTTCTGGAGCGTGCCTGGGGACCGGCTCCCCGCCCCGGGAACTGCATGTTTGGGGTGGGAGGGTGTCGAGGCTACTTTGTGTCTACATTCCCACTATAAGTGAATGAGTGTGTGTGTGTGTGTGTGTGTGTGTGTGTGTGTGTGTGTGTACGCGCGCGCGCGTGTGCGTGCGTGGATGGGGAGGGGTGATGGGCCTCACAGTGACTGTCCACGCTCTTGTCTCTAACTTTTAGTCGAGTTGACGTGTTTGTGTGCCCAGAGGACAAGGGCTCGGTGTGAGACGGTGATTTCAGTTCCGCGTGCGTCTGTGGGGGGTCACCGGTGTCCGGGCCCATCCCCGTGTGTGACCTCGTGTGCGTGGGTGTGCGGCTGTGGGAAGGCGAGTTTCCCTGCGCGTGTACGAGGCTGAGCCCCTTCTACCTTCCTTTCGTTTTAAAGCCTGCGCTTTCCTCCCACGCGGGACTGGTCCTGAGCGCAGCTCCGCCGGAGCCCCTTTGCTCTCAGGTCCCCACACCGACTTTGGGGGGGGTGTCAGAGGCCAGCGGCGCCCCTCACATCCCCCCCCATCATCCAGGGCCACCCCGCCTTCGCGTGGATCCCGAGCCGCAGGAGCGGATCATGGAGGTGGCATCGGAGCAGCCTCGCTGGATGGCGCACCCCGCCGTGCTGAATGCGCAGCACCCCGACTCGCACCACCCGGGCCTGGCGCACAACTACATGGAGCCGGCGCAGCTGCTGCCTCCGGACGAGGTGGACGTCTTCTTCAACCACCTCGACTCGCAGGGCAACCCCTATTACGCCAACCCGGCCCACGCGCGCGCGCGCGTGTCCTACAGCCCGGCCCACGGTGAGCCCTCGGCGGCCCCCGGGTTGCTGGGAGCCCGGCCCGCGCCAGGCCTCGGAGGGGAGGACCGCCCGCGGCTGCTTCCCGGATGTGGGATCCGCAGGAATCTGAGCAGCTGCGAAGCCGGGCCGGGGAAGGTGGAGGCAGAGACCCCTTGGGGAGGGTCTGGAACCTGTAGTCCTGTCCGGTTCCAACTGTCTTGGGGGGGTCCCTCTGGCCCTGACCGGTGGGGTCGCTCTGTGGCGCTTGGCCTTTCACGGACCTCGCTGTCGACTGCACGCTGGGGTGTTACGTTTCCGATGATTTCAAGGGTGGGGCTGTTGACGGGGGTCCCTGAGCTGTGTGACCCGGTGTGCCTGGCCGCGTGGTGGCTCTGAAGCCCCCGCCCGCCCTCACCCCTTCTCCCTCTGCTGCAGCCCGTCTCACCGGAGGCCAGATGTGTCGACCACACTTGTTGCACAGCCCGGGCTTGCCGTGGCTGGATGGGGGCAAAGCGGCTCTCTCCGCCGCCGCTGCCCACCATCACAGCCCCTGGACCGTCAGCCCGTTCTCCAAGACCCCGCTGCACCCCTCGGCTGCTGGAGCCCCGGGAGGGCCGCTGTCTGTGTACCCCGGGGCTGCGGGTGGGAGCGGGGGAGGCAGTGGGGGCTCGGTGGCCTCCCTCACCCCCACTGCAGCCCACTCTGGCTCCCACCTCTTCGGCTTCCCGCCCACGCCACCCAAAGAAGTGTCTCCAGATCCCAGCACCACCGGAGCTGCTTCCCCAGCCTCCTCATCGGCAGGAGGTAGTGTAGCCCGAGGTGAGGACAAGGATGGCGTCAAGTACCAAGTGTCACTGTCGGAGAGCATGAAGATGGAAGGCGGCAGTCCCCTGCGCCCAGGCCTAGCTGCCATGGGCACCCAGCCTGCGACACACCACCCAATACCCACCTATCCCTCCTATGTGCCCGCCTCGGCACACGACTACGGCAGCGGGCTCTTCCATCCTGGGGGCTTCCTGGGTGGACCCGCCTCCAGCTTCACCCCGAAGCAGCGAAGCAAGGCACGCTCCTGCTCAGGTAAAGGCAGCTGTGGGACTTCAGGGCCGTGGGGTGGGGTGTGCCTGTGTGAAAGGGGTTGTGATCTGAGTAGGAGGCCACCTTAGAGCGGCGGGTTTAAGAATGGGTGGCACTACTCTCTGACAGTCCACAAGTGTTTGAGGCTCCCTGTGGGGAAGAAGAAAATCCTAAAACTTTTCATCCTTCCTTTGGGTGTCCCTAGCATCCCCCCTTCAGTTCTTCTCCTCACCCCTCACCATATCCCCCCTCCAAGGTTGGTGAACATCAGCCAACGCTCAGAATGTAGCTCCCTGTCTCCTCCCCGAATGTTGAGCTGAGAGCGAGCAGCCTCGTGACTGGGTGTGGGGGAGAATGGGGCTGTAGGTGAGGGAAGGAGTCAGTGTGCTCGTGTGTGTACGTGTGTCTGCGAGCGTGTGCATGCTGCGGGCGCTGCAGAGATCCAGGCCCTGAAGGAATCTGGTTCTCCAACTCTGCTAGTCCAGATCTCCTTGGAGATTTCCCCAAAGCGAAATTCCCAAGGCCTGTTTGTATCCTAGTGACCCTGATCCCTCTCCCTGAGGGCAGGGGTGCGAACCTGTGAGGGTGCCCGCACCCTTCTGCCAGCAGTAGCTGGATCCAGCCGGGTTGGTCCAGCAGGATGGCCCTCAGGCAAAAACCCAGGGCTCTGGGGCTGCTTCCCATGGATTCTAGTGAGGGAGGGGAAGGTTCTCTCCAAAGTTTACTCCTACTTTGAGGAACCACCGTCTCTTGCTGTAGCTCACAGGGACTTAGTTCCAACCAAATCAGGAAGAATTTTCTGGGTAAGGAGTTACAGGCACTCACTCCGCCGAACTCCAGCCCGATTTGACTCAACCTCCTGCCCCACTAAGACCAGCGACTTTGCCTTTTTGCAATCTTGGGCCTTTTTTTGTAGCCCTTTCTTCCAAGTTTGTTTTGTATTTTATTTGAATTCCAGATGGCCAAAAAAACAGCAACAGAAAATAAGACCGTCCAAACTAAAGTGAAAGAACCTCTTATTTATTTCATTAAAAACAAACAAACAAACAACAACTTTGGTAATTGAATCCTAGGATTTTGAAAAGAGAAAAAAGCTGGAGGGAGAGAAAAGTTTTCTTCCTGACCCTAGACTGAGCATAAAGACAGTGAGGGGCTGATAGTGGAGACGGGGAACAGACTTGGAGATCCTGGCACAGCTGGAGGGGCAAAAGTGAGAGGAACTAGGAGAGAAGAGAGGCTGAGAGCCTCCCCGGGACCCAGATCAGGCCGGGCAACTGTGCTCTGCGTGGCGGTAGCCCCTGTTCCATAGAGCCGGCCTTCAGTTCTCTTTCTGGGTAACTTGCTGCTGGCTCTGAGAATCCCCGCACCCTGCATTTTATGGGGACCTCCTGAGTCCCTCTTTCTGCCAGGGGTGGGACTGAAAGACTCCGTCCTCAGCTGCTAAGCTGCTTTTGTCTCTCCTCGTTCCTCTGCAGAAGGCCGGGAGTGTGTCAACTGTGGGGCCACAGCTACCCCTCTCTGGAGACGGGATGGCACGGGCCACTACCTGTGCAACGCCTGCGGGCTCTACCACAAGATGAATGGACAGAACCGGCCCCTCATCAAGCCCAAGCGGAGGCTGGTAGGAATGAGCACATCGTGGGGCAGGGCAAGGGCCACAGCGGCGACCAATCCGGGTAGATCTGGTGGTTAGTTAAGGGAAGAAAATCAAAACAAAACAAAAAACAAAAGCAAAAAACAAAAAAAACCCAAAACGAAAACAACCCAACAACAAAACTTCAAATGCAGAGACTTCAGCACCTGAAGGTCTCTTACCAGTAAAATCATCTGGGGGTCAGTCAGGTCGCTCTTCGTGCTGGCGGATTCTTTCCTGCCAAGTTTCCTGTCCTGCAGCCACGGGCACCCCTCCCCGCCCCCCACTGCTGAAGGATTCCCAGGGCCCGGGGTCCAGCAGCCCACCCTCGTGCTCTGGCCTCCTGTTCGCTCTTTTTTAAAAATAGGGTCATGAAGTACTTTTCCCTGTGGCGACTCTGGCAGCCCTCCCTCGCCTCCCTGCTCACAGTCTCCTCGCTTATTTAAATAACACACAGCAGCCACCAAAAAAACCTGCCCTTTATTATTTTTCCATGGAGTCACCTATACTGTGTATTTTCATTTGAGTGATTTTTAAAAAAATGTCCTTTCGGATCTCCTGCCGGAGTTTCCTATCCGGACATCTGCAGCCGGTAGATAAGGAAACTTCGTGTATCTGTTTCCGGACCGGCAAGTTTTCAGAGCCGCCTCGACTCAGTCCTGCCTCTCGCTGGGCTGTTTTGAAATTTCTAATACCCTCCACTCTGCAAATAATGTGTAAAATGCTAAGAATAATAAATATATTTTTTCAGGGCGAAGTGATTTATGAGTTTAAATCGTTCACCCGCTTTGGGGCCCTTTTCTTTTTCTTTTTTTTTCCCTCTCCTCTCCCTGGAGCAGTGAGAGGGCGGGTGCGGGCTGGTGGGGGTGGGAGGAGGATATGCTGCTGGCCCCTGAGTCAGAATTCCAGCTTCGGGCTGCTTACTCACCCTCCCCGGCCCAGCATTGGCCAGCTCTGGTCCCCTCCGTGAGCAGGCTCAGGCCCGGGGGCCACTCTGGGCTCAGCTGGCCTCGGCCCCCACCCCACCCTGGCTGCCCAGTGGAGTTTAGCATTAGGAATTGCTGGGCAGGGTGGGGGAGGAAGGAGGGCCGCCGCAAGACTTACAGCTCTTTTTCCCTGGGGCAGAAGGGTCGGCAGAGGGGCGCTCTGTGTTCTAGGAAAAGGTTTCTCTCTCTGGACCTTGTGTTCCTCGTTCCAGAGACCAGACCTCCTCTCTTCTTTCCCCCACCTCTGACTGCCATTTCCTGGGGTGCTGGGACGAGGGACTGGTAAAGGCAGCGGGTGAGAACTCTCAGGGCGCCGTGTTCTAGACCGGCAGGGAACGGAAATGTCTTTGCTCCTTAGTCCTTGTGGAAGCCTCTGGCTAGTATGACTATTGATCGCTAGGAATGCGGTTAGTGCAGTCAAAGGAACTGAATGTTTAGCTTTTAAACTGCAGTTACATTTAATGTAAGTCTCTCCTGGTGACTTGCACATTCTGTATAGGACAAGGCAACGACACACTTTAACCCCGGGCTCAAGCCTTTCTGGGTTCTCCTGGGCAGTGCAGGGTCTTGCTGCCGGGACTCTAGATTTCCAGGGGAACAGTGGGGGCGGAGGCATGCAACTGGAGACAGAGCAACTCAGGGTGGCCACTAGAGCCTCCTTGGGACCTCAGTTTCCTTACCTATGAAATTGGATTGCTGGGCACTCAGGGAAGTGGCTTCCCCTTCTGTGTTTACAATCCTTCAGATTCTAAGAACTCTTTATTCCAAAGTTCTGTGATTCCCAACCAGTTTTACTTCTCAAATTCTAAAATTCCTTGGTCTGAGATGCCTGGATTCCCCTGTGGGACCCGCTGCTACTGGGCTAAGCGGTGAGGCTGGGGGTGGCTCGGAGGGCCCAGGAGAAGGTCAAGGTGGGGCGTGGGAGACCGCCGCTGACGCTGCCCCTCCCCTCCCAGTCTGCTGCCAGGAGAGCGGGCACCTGTTGTGCAAATTGTCAGACGACAACCACCACCTTATGGCGCCGGAACGCCAACGGGGACCCTGTGTGCAACGCCTGTGGCCTCTACTACAAGCTGCACAATGTGAGTGCTCCCCGCCCCTCCCCAGGGGCCTCAGCTCTTTGTGCATTTGTGCAGCCCCGGCCAGCGGCCCCAGCCACCATCTCCAGCTTGGCTTGGCTTGGGAAGCCGCAGCCGGCAGCCTGCCTGGCCAGCCCAGAGTGCCAGAAGGGCCGTCCTGTAAGAGGGATGCCTCTGCTTTGGAGGTGGGACCGGTGGGGGCAGGGCCGACGGGACTGGGACCTCTGTGTCAGGAGCCGTGGGGGGGGGGGGGGCAGGGGAGGATTAGAGGTGTTGGCGATGGGCAGCGCAGGCATTTAGTGGACTGGAAACCTTGTGGGCTGTTAGACCGCGCAATCTTTCTTGAAATGGTGACGATGCAGGCTTTAAGGGGGCTTTGGTGAGTGGCCTGGGAAACTGGGCTGAAGGCACCATTCCTGGCACCCTGGGGATATAAGTTACTCATCCTCTCTTGACCTGCGAGGCCAGTTGAAGGGATCCGTGGGGGTAGGGAACTTGTCCTAAGGGCTCTGTGGCTGCCTCCAGGTTAACAGGCCACTGACCATGAAGAAGGAAGGGATCCAGACCCGGAACCGGAAGATGTCCAGCAAATCCAAGAAGAGCAAGAAAGGGGCCGAATGCTTTGAGGAGCTATCCAAGTGCATGCAGGAGAAGTCATCCCCGTTCAGTGCGGCTGCCCTGGCTGGACACATGGCCCCCGTGGGCCACCTCCCACCCTTCAGCCACTCTGGACACATCCTACCCACACCAACGCCCATCCACCCCTCCTCCAGTCTCTCCTTTGGCCACCCTCACCCGTCCAGCATGGTGACTGCCATGGGCTAGATACAGCTTCCCACTGGACAGACAAGAACATCAAGGGTGGCTGGCAGAGCCAGAGCGAGGCCGGGTATTCCCAGGATGGGTGGAACACACTCTTGGCTCCCGCTCCTCCCGAGAGACCCACACTTCCTCCTGCCAGCCCAGCCTGGCCGAAGCCACCTCTTCTGGGAGGATTCCCAGCCTTGTGCCGCCATTACTGTGAATATTTCTAACTGGGCTGCAGTGTGTGCCCCGGGTGCTGCCCAGGAAAGTGTTTTCACGGATAGTTGCTTGGAGAGCAAAATGGACAGGTTTATAGCAAGAAAAGGAGCAGACTGGGGACAGAAAAACGAAAACATTTTTTTTGAAGGAGAAAGAAGTAGGCTAAAAAAATTATTTTGCTCTTATTTTTTACAAGGACGTGAAGACATGGAGGCATGGGCTGTTTGTGTTCTCTGGGTCCTTCCTCAGGGCCTACTGCCCTCAGTCAGGGCTCTGGGGAGGGGCAGACTTACAGGGCCCCAACCTGAGCCCCCTCTGCAGCCTGGAGGTAGCCCTTGCCCTGACGCAGCCCTAGAGGGCAGAGACAATCGCAGGCGGTCCTGCGCGGATTCCCAGGCCAGGGCTGGGTCACAGGAAGGAAACATTCTCTGGAAAGGGGAAATGTCTCCCAGATCATTCCCTTGGCTTAGAGAGGCCAAAACTGGTGTGACCCAAATGGGCTAAGCTGTGGCCTGCGCTCTAGGCCAGTTGGACCCCTGTAAATACATCCTTTTTTCTGCTAACCCGACCCCCCTCCCACTCTAAGATAAATAAGAAAATATTCAAAACAAAAACCAAACTGCATAAGCTTAACTCGCTGATGAGTGGTTTTATTTTTAAACTCGTTTTGGGTCCAGTCAATTGTACGTTGCCACAGAAGCCTCACCATGAAAAGAATAAAACCTACAAACCAGGGCTGAGCTTCACAGTTCTTTCTTGAATGGTTCTTGGGTCCTGCGGTCCTGGCAGGAGGCTGGGGACGAGGGGGAGCTTATGCTCTTGGTTGCTGGGGGATAGGGGCAGGCAGGCAGCGGCCCTGTGATCTGGGGCTTCTGTTCTGCTGTGGCTGGTTGGATCCTTCAAGGTACAGCTGTACATAAAATGTGTCCCAAGCTTCGATTCTGTGTGCGGTGGTGTCGGTGGTGCAGCAGCCAGCAAGTGGGCCCCAAGCCCGGGAGACGATTGCGCTGACTCCTCAACCAAGTGCAATACCGGTGTCCAATTGCTGCGGAGCACCCTGACCGGAAGTAACTTATTTTGTGCTAGTACCCGCATAAGAAAAAGAATCGGCAGTATTTTCTGTTTTTATGTTGTTGGGTTTTTGTTTTTTTTTTTTTTTGGCTTGTTTTATTTTGAATTAGTGACTTAAGTTATTGTTAACTATGTACAACATTTAAATATTGTCTGTAAAAATTGTATGCTACCCTCTTATTCCTTTAAAGTGAATACTGTTAAAAATAATAAAATACTTTTTGTGAATGCTGCAGCCTGTGGAGTGGGTCCCTGGGGTACCCTGCGTTCCTTGTGGGGTTTGAGCTGTCAGGTGATCTCTGCCCTTCAGAGAAGGCGCCATTTGGTTGGCTACCCCCTCCTCCCTGGGGCCCAGGGAAAGGTACATGGTGTGTGTGTGTGTGTGTGTGTGTGTGTGTGTGTGTGTGTGTGACAGCACTCTTCTCCAGCTCCTGCTTTTCTGAGAGTCCAGCAAGGTCCCTGCTTGGGCTTTTCATAGCACCAATAACTGACCTGGCCCCACTCAGGTCCCCCCAACGAGGTGTGATCAGCTCTGGCTTCTAGGGTACCAGGTTGCCAAATCTATTTGTTGACAAACTTGGTCACGCTGTCACAGATTGCTGTCTCTGACCAATGATCCAGGCAGCTACTGCTACCAATACTCCTGACCAATGCATCTGCCACTGCCCCCTTAAAGGGTGACTGCTAACCAGCCGGCAGTATGTATCTGGACGATGTCTAGTCGCTACCTTGTGCACAATGGGATCACCAGTCATCCCTGGCAGCCATGTTGCCAGCTGCCGTGAACCACGTGCTTAGAATCTCTCCTCAAGGTTTCTCATGGCCGATGTGTGGGCCCCGTGAGCAGGTAGCCACTGGGCCACCAATGGTGTCACAGTGATTTTTCTTTTGGGGTGGGGTGAGTTGTGGGGTCTCGGCCTCGCTCAGGCCGGCTTCAAACACGTAAGCACTATGGATCGTCTCACCTTACCTCCTGTGAAGCTGACGTGAGGCCATTATGACTGTCACTTGGGGTCTCTTTAACAATAACCTTGGTCACTTGACTCGATCACTAACTGCCCATGTGCCCAGTAACCACACCCTCTCACTGCCATCTCTCTTCTGATGCTGTCCTAAACTTTGGCACCCATGTCCCTGAGGGCTCACCTCTAGTCACCACCAGTGTCCCAGTGTCAAAGACTGATCCTAGTACCCCCATTCTCCCTAATCCCTTCTAGCCCACACTCCTGACCACTTGCCTCCCTAACTAGTCCCTGGTTAATACCCAGTAACTGGTGTCGTCTGGTTACTGAGTTTTAGCGTCACTTGTACTATCGATCCCAAGAGACCCCACCAGGTTCTGAGCACGTGTTTCTTCCACCCTCAGCCCTCACACACCCAAGAACTTCAGGGTCCTAGGAACCCATCCTGAGTCACCCACATCCCTGACCAGTGGCTGACAATATGTCCAGTCAACCACTCTTGCCGGAGACCACTGAGCCGACTCCTGGTCATCACTGTGTTGACCTTCTTGGATGATGCTGTCTCTCATTGATTCCAGTCACTGACCATGTGTCCCAGATCAGTGGCTTCTCTCAGCCCTAATCCTCATCTCCGGGGATCCCCACTGACTGCTCTGACTGTCAACATTCTTGCTGCTCAGCTGCACAGACATCCACTCACACACGGAGGTTTCCTCCTGAAGCAGGCTGCTGGGCCATCACACACAGGGAAAAGCCAGACTCCTAGCAAGGACCAGCAGCCTGTCTGAAGTGTCACAGTCTGTCAGGGTGTAGTAAGGGGGGTATCTCTGGGCTTTAGCCTCAGGATTCTTCCCTGGCATGCCACTACATACCCTGTCCTCATTCTTCCCTGCAGAATGGACCCCTGAGCCAGAGGAGAACCAAGCTGAAGCTTGGTTGGGCTGCTGTGCCTTCCCCCACAGATCACCGCACTGGCCTTCCGGCCTCCTGCTGGCTACAGCCACAGTGAAGGCAGGAGCAGCTTTCTTTGTCTTGTCCCCAGGTTTCAACTACAGGCTTGTGTGTTTGATAGCAGGATTCGGGATCGGGTTATGCATGCACATGTGTGTGTCCCTGTGTGTGTGCGTGCATGCGTGTGTGCATTCATGTGTGTGTGTGCTGTTAACTCCTTTTGCCACATACAGTTATAGGCACTGGAAGCCTTATCAGAGAGGACAAACAGAAACCCTTTGAGAGGAGGTAATGTTCCAGGCATGAGTTTGGCTCTGGTCAAACTCGTCTGGCCCGGTTCAGAATGGACAGTCAGACAGTCGACAACAATGGTTCTCAACCTGTGGCTCATGACCCCTTTGGGGGATGAATATCAGATATTCTACATATCAGATATTTGCATTATGATTCATAACAGTAGCAACATTAGTTATGAAGTAGAAACAAAGTAATTTTATGGTTGGGGGGTCACCACAACATGAGGAACTGTGTTAAAGGGTCGCAGCATTAGGAAGGTTCAGAACCTGTAGTTTAAGCCCAAAAATCAGGAATCACAGCCCTGGACCTTAGGAACTTAAAGCTCAGATACAGAGTCTAGAGCCTGGATATTCACATCCAAAATGGAGAGATCACAGCATGGCACCGTCTAATCCAGATCCAGGTCCCTCAAATCCAGAGCCTTCCCTGAGCTCATAGCCTAGAACAGCAATAACCCTGAAGTGAGGCCTATATCCAGACATCAGAATCCAGACCCCGGCATATGAGGCTTATGCCTTATCCTTATTCCAGGGATCTGGAATGTGGCGCTTCCACATCCAAGACCTAGAGCTTTGCAGAGGACCCAAAGGCCAGGATCCAAGCCTGGAATCCAGAGTGAGCTTACAAGAAGCCATGTTTCCCTGGCTTATTTCCTCCCTCCCGTTAGCCCAAAGTTTTGGAGCAGCCACTCCAGGCACAGCCTCAGGTGCTGGGAGGCTGGCCGGGAGGATGCCAGCAGGTGAGTGGCTTCCCCCGGTGCACACTCAAGAATGCCAACGCATTCTTGGGGTAGTGTTTCCCTGATGGCTCCCGAATAGGTTCATTCTTCATGCATCCCTGCTGTTGAACTTAGGGGCTCCCTGTGGGAAGGAGTCAAGGGGCTAAAGTGAGAGACACTGGGGCTATGAGAGCATTGAGGACCACAGTCACAGCTCAAGCAAGCTGCTTTGGGAGTCTAGCCTGATCTCAGTTTGTATTCCCTCCTCCATACAGCGATTAGCCCCTCACCCTCCCTCCCTTAGTCACTACCTGGTAAACAATTGGGATTTTTGTGGACAAAAGCACCCGGGCAGACCAGGAGCCACTAGTGGCTGTCTTGAGCATGGTGACATAAAGATCCCACAGGGCCGGCACCAGTGCGGCCAGGGCGTGGGCCAGTCTTTGTTCCGTTTGTTTGCACCCAGGTTGAGCTGGCCAGCTCAAGCCCTCCCCCTTCTTTTTCTGGGATACTTCCAAGCCTGGCTTCGTACTCCTATTTTTCATGGTAGAAACCAAACCTCTTGTGTGACCTTAGGGGACCAACTGTGTCCTTCTCAGCCCCCTCCTGCTTCCTGGTGACCTGTCACTGGAGGAGGGAGGGGAATTGAGGGAAGGGAATAAGTCTCACTGATCAATCCTAGGGCCTCAGACATGGACATAGCCCCAGGGGGAATGTTGGGAGGAATTCCAGCCATCCACCACAGAATAAGACAAGCTTCCTGAGGCAGGGAAGATGGCCCATACCAAGGAGCCATTCCCTATTAAGGTGTGGACCCTCAATGAGTTTATGAGGCAAAACAATTAGATTAAAAAAAAATGATAAAAAAACCAAAACAATTCCAAACTTTATCTGGAAAAAAAAAGAGGCAAGCCAGCAAAATCTAAAAAGTTTAAGGGAAAATGGAATGCCCACATGGGGAGGGGGTTGTATGTGTACATGTGAGTGAAATGTTGCCCAAGATTCCACTGCTTTTGTGGTGAGGTCAAGCAGATCTGGAGGCACCCAGCTGAGTCTACGCACATACCATGACTTACAAGGTGGTGGGTGGCATCCCAGATCTGTGCAAGGGGGTTCTTGCTAGCCAGTGATGGCTCATCATTGGCTAGCAAGAACCCCTTTGCACGGATTTGAGCTCCTGAAATGAACTACTAAGGAATAATTTCAGACAAGGAGATTAAAAGAAAATACCCAGAGTCTGGCCCATTTCCACCCAGGTCACTCTCCAAGAGATCCCTAGGTCCTACCTGGAACTTGGGGGCATTGAGTTTTAATAATACCACACATATCATATACTTGAGGTTTTTGTTGTTGCTGCTTTAAGATTGGATCTTTTTCTTATGTTTTGCAGTGCTGGAGATGGAACGCAAGGCCTCATGTGTGCCACACAAGCCACACCCTAGCCCTAAAGATATAATCTTGAGACCAACTATTACAACCCACCCAGCTGGATGGCCCAGTTTGGTTCCCCCACAGGTAAACTGTCAGCAGGACACTGGAAACAAACATAAAGGTTTTCTTCTACATCAGAGAGGGGAAGCAGAATAATAAAAATGGCATAGTGCTGTCAAAAGTAGCTCACAGATAGTCTGTTCCAACATATGGACACTCTATGGCTGTCTAAATACGTATCCCTTTAGGCCCAGAGATTTTCAGGACAGCCTTGATAAACCTGAGAGCATTCACACTCAAAAGAAAGAAGGGGAAAAGCCCAAAATAATACTGACTACAATAGA